ATATGAGAAGATATACTCGATTTTTTTTTGTTCTAATTTATCTTAAAAGTAATATTTAAAAGGTTTATATCGGGTCAAGGTTCAAAATATTTGGTCATATTTTTATGTTATTCAATTTATAAAGGTATTAGACAAGGGTTAAAAAATTGTTTGGTATGAGCTTGTACAAAAAAGAAAAGAAACAAATTTTTGTATCTGCCAGATAATAGGGGTGATAAATCATTTTTTTTTTCAAATGAATAGAAAAGTTTTTCATGGTATTAAAAGGTTTTTGTTCTCAGAGTAAGTCGAAAGGTTTTTATTTGGATCAATAGAATTTTTTTTAAAAAATATTTTATAAAAAAATGGAAATTGTTTGCTTAATGTTATTAAAAATTGTTTGTCGTGAGTAATATGTTTTTGTAACCAGATGACTGTTTTAATGAATAGGAAGATTTTTATGGTATTAGTAAAGGTTGGTGGATAAATTTTTGTTTTAAAAAATTTTTTTATGGCCATTATGTTTATAAGTCAATTAGAGAAGACATGAATAAGGATTGGGGGATTCGCCTGATTGACCTAATATTTGAATAGAAAAGTTTTATTTTTGTGTTAGTAAAAAAGTTTTTGTTTGGTCATGTTTATATTTTGATTATTCACATTGATAAAAAGTTTTTTTTTTAATCAGCAGTGTCTGCCAGTTGTTATTTTTTTTATCTGGTTTTATGTTGTAGCCAGATATAAAAGTATATATTTGTTGGAAAGAAAATACAGTATTATTTAGTAAATGTCTTTTTATCATGGTGCTTCATAATATATAATGAAAAGAAAATCTTAAACATTTGGTAAAAAAAAATTTTTTTGTTAAATTTTTGTTCTCCCAGCCCTTCTGTTGTATATTTTTTTTTCTCCTAACTTATTTTTATTGGAAATTGCCTCTAATTTTGTAATTAATGTTAAGGAATGAATAATACTGACCTGGGGATTCGCATGACTGGGTTAGATGTTTTTGTGGATAAAATATTCTTTTTGAGGCTTAAATATCATTAATTTTTTTTACGGTCACTTATGATAATTTATTCTCTTTTCGTTTGTGTTTCACTTATGTATTTTAATAATTTTTTTTAAAAAAAAATAAAAATAATAATAATTTAAATAAATTGCCAAAATCACATATGAACGTATTCCCCATTATCAGACTCTTGTCAAGTTAATTATCAAGCCAATGCTCATGGAAGTTTATCGTTTAGTCAACCTTTCGGAGCTATGACAACCAAGCCCCGATAACGATGTATGACGTCAATGTAGACGAATAGAGATCATATCCCTTTACGCTATGAATATGATATGGTATGATAATTCGTATTAGCCAATTACCGTTCCAACAATTTACACGAAGATGTCCATATAGCATAGCTTTGTAGACCATGAACATTCATTATTCTCTTAATATCAGTAATAATCAAGAGGCGTAATTATATAAATATGGAGTAAAAGTAGACAACGGGATATCAGATATTCTTCCTATGAACATGATATGAAGAAAAATTCTCTTATTATAATAATCCACAAAGTTCCGCGATACTTACATCCGATAATTCTAATTATATATCGCGAGATTTTACATGATTCACCTTATTACATCGAAAATTTTGTAATAGTATGCAATATTATTTTTTTATGTACATGCCATTGGCCCATAAAGGGGTGGCATGTAGTAAATTATAATATTTTTTTATATTTGAAATGTCAATCATTTCAACTTTGATTTTTGTATGTTTTTTTTATCGTTTTTGATGAAAAATGATTTTTATTACTTATCAATTTTTTATGAAAAACTTATTGAAATGGATTAATTTTTTTATGAAAAACTTATTGAAATGGATTAATTATTTTTATGAAAAACTTATTGAAATGGATTATTTTTTTTATGAATATTAAAGAAATAAAAGTGTATAAAAAACCCATACGTTTCTTTGCGATTTTTGTAATTTGAATAAGTTATTTCTATATTTAGATCTTTGCCAGTTTGGATTGTTTGCGTATTTTTATTTCTATTTCGGTTTTTTTTGAGGTTGTTTAAATTTTTGACAGTGGTGACTAATATTTTAAGTGATATAATTAATTTCAGAAGTATAAACGACATAATAGTTATATGATAATCAATAATTTCCGTAAGAAATAATCAATTCCGTTTGTCAACCATGCTCAATTAAGAGACTACCAATTTCTAGTTTTATTTTTTTTTTAGAAATAAATAGGTTGATTTGGGATATTCTTATAAAAATAGAAATCGATTGAAAATCTTGACATCAGGATAACCGATTAAAAATATTAAAGAAAATGATAATATTGAATATGAATTAGAACACTACTGAGAGCTAAACGTTAGTTATTGAATTACAATGAATTTAAAAAATTGATAATATCGATTCATTCTACTATTATATTCAAAATAAAGTTAATATTGACTTATATATTTATATTTGAAAATATCGTCTTATTTTTATCATTATTTGCATAAGAATCACTTATATTTTATGTAATTGTTAAATTACTTTTTTTTAGAGTTTTTATACAGTAAAAATTTTTAATATTATAATCTGTATAAAATACCTACATTTTGAAATTTATTTTAAATAATAAAAATATATAATGAAATATTCTCTAAAATTTTGTTGGTTCGGGGCCGAAATATTCCCACAGCTGTTTGGAGTCAAATGAAAGAAAGATGGTGAATACAAACAAGACACATTTAACATTTAAATTTAATAAATTTTAAAATATTTATATTATAATTTATGCAATATATATTTATGAATATTTAAATATATCTAAAGTAATATTTAAGTATATATATAAGGTAATATTAAATTATATATAAAGTAATATTTAATAAATAATTATATATATCTAAAGTAATATTTATATATATATATAAAGTAATATTTAAATATATATATGAGGTAATATTAAATTATATATAAAGAAATATTTAAATATAAATAATTAAAATATTTATATGATAATTTATGCAATATATTATAAAATATTTAAATATATCTAAAGTAATATTTAAATATATATATAAAGTAATATTTAAATATAAATATAAGGTAATATTAAATTATATATAAAGTAATATTTAAATATATATATAAAGTAATATTTAAATATATATATAAAGTAATATTTAAATATATATATAAGGTAATATTAAATTATATATAAAGAAATATTTAAATATAAATAATTAAAATCGTTATATGATAATTTATGCAATATATTATAAAATATTTAAAAAGTAATATTTAAATACATAAATAAAGTATTATTAAAAACCTTAAATATATATAAACTAGTATAAAATAAAATATAGGAAGAATGTATTTAAATTCGCTAAAATAATTGGTTAATTTATAATTAATAAAGTTTTGCCACCATAAAGTTTTTTATGATAAATGATGTAATGATACGAGTTTTCTAAATAAAAAAATGTAACCATAAAGTTTTCTAATATAAAGATTGTTTATTTTATTTTAAATTATTAATTTAATTTTATATAATATATTTTAAAATTTTACATTTTTTTTATCAAACTAAAAAAATCAGGTTTATATAATAATTTTCATATTAATATATAAAAATTTATATAATAAAAATCAATCTACACAATTTATAAAAAAATCAATTTATATCAACATAAAAAAAACAATTTAAAGGTTAGTATTAATCGGTCATATTAACAATAATAATTAATTAATATAAATGATAATTGTTAATAACAGAATGTAGACTATCTGGCTTATATTAATTGTTAGGTATAAAAGATTATTAAAATTTTTTAATTACTTCTAGTGCTGTAAACGTTACTACAAAAAAAGAAACGCATTACAGTTACTCGTTACATCTGAAAAAGGGAACCCGTTACGGTTACCTTAAAAAGAAACGCGCATTGAAGGACTTGTCTTTATCTGAAAATCTTAGTAATTCAGATATGTCATAAGAGTCGTCATATGCAATTATCCTTATTAATATGACTATCTATTAATTTCCTTCTTTCCCATGCTTCCCTTAAAAATGGCTGCAGAGTTTGAAGATTGCCCCCATTTTATTCCATAATATCTTACTTAGAAAATGTAATTTTTAAAATAATTTTAGAGTGTACATCGTCGACATGGACAAATCGGCCAATAGAGGAATCATGCATACACTCCTAAAAAATCGTAGATAACATACAAAACAAAATATTTTGAAAAGATGATGATGGAAATAACAGTCGACCTGGACAAATCGGCCAATGGAGGATTCAGACATACACTCCCAAAAAAAATCGTAGATACCAAGCAAAACAAAATATTTTGAAAAATTTATGTGATTTTTTAAAAGAGAGAAGAGACTTACCTAATTTTCTCTTGGAGAACATATTGTTTCATTTGAATAATATAACTTATTTTTTTATATATCATTTATATAATATTATAATAATTTCTTATCTGTAAATTTAAAAAAAATTTGATAAGCAAAATAATAATTGTAAGATTTGAAATATATAATATTCACTGCTTATAATCACCTCTGAAATAGATATTTTTATGAATAAAATTCAAGGTTACAACGTTAGTAACTACATTACTTTTTTTTACATTACTTTACAGCACAAATTAATATATAAATATTTATATTTTAGAAGGCAGATTTTATAATTTTTATTCTGATCATACTTAGGGTTGAACATCTATCGGTTACCGGATTAATTTATTAATCTATTTAATTAAAACCTATGATTGACCAAGACATATAAAAGTTTAATAATAAATTAATCAATTGTTTTAGTTAAAAAATCAGCAATATATATTCAAAAATGATTATTTGAATAAAATAAGGATTCAAAATTTAAATTTTGTATTTCTTTTATCAATTATCTCCTTCCTTATAATTTTTTAGATGGTACAAAAAAATTTGAATAATAAAATTTTATGTTACAAATTTTATAAATTATGGATTTTCTCAAATGACAATAAAATTTAAAATATCCTTTATTAAAATATAATAAATAGTAATATGACATTTTAAAACAACTACAACTTAATTAATATGGAGAAAAAAATTTCATAGATGGAAAAGATGTAATCCATTTCACCAATCTTTTCCTCACAGATATAACACCATTCAATCTCAATATAAATATAAACTTTCAATATAATTTTACTTTCCCAAAGAATAATAAATTCAATTTTTATATGTTAGCATTTTTTACAATTAATAATAAAAATATCTAAAAAACAATTGAATTTGTAATAAAATGAAATTTACATTGAAACATATTCACCACCATCCTGATAAATCTAAAGAAGAGCATTATGCAATTATGAATAAACAAAGTACAAATTATCCCCACATCACTGTCTCCAACTTCTTGTGGAGGATTGAACATTTGACTTTCTTCCAACAAGTTCCCAGAAATCCCCACATCACTGTCTCCAACATCTTGTGGAGGATTGAACATTTGACTTTCCTCCAACAAGTTCCCAGAATTCCCCACATCACTGTCTCCAACTTCTTGTCAAGGATTTATCAAAGGAGGCACTAATGTCGTGATTAAGGAAAAATATATTAAGAAAAATTTGATTAAATATTTATAATAAAATTTAAAAATAATTTTGTAAAATACTTCCTCCTCTTCCACTCAAAATAATTATTGTTCTTCTAATGTTCTATTTCTTAGAAAATATAAATATTCCTAATTTTATCCATGTGTTCAAATACTGTTAAAATTATAAAAGATATATGATAAATTTTAGAAAAAAAAATTTGCCATACATCATTAAAACCAATTACCTTGGCCTAGTTCAGAAAAATATATTCTAATAATATAGAATCTTGCTAATACTAAGATAGAATCTTGCAAATACTAAGATAGAATCTTACTAATACTAATATGTAAATATTAATTAAAACCAATTACCTTTGCCTTGAGGTACTGTATTTATATTTGATATTAGCTTTTAAGGTTTAGTCTTTATTTTATAATTTTCTACAAAAATGGTATGTAAATAGCTTTTGAGGTTTAGTCTTTATTTTATAATTTTCTACAAAAATGGTATATAAATAGCTTTTGAGGTTTAGTTTTTATTTTATAATTTTCTACAAAAATGGTATGTAAATAGCTTTTGAGATTTAGTCTTTATTTTATAATTTTCTACAAAAATGGTATATAAATAGCTTTTGAGGTTTAGTTTTTATTTTATAATTTTCTACAAAAATGGTATATAAATAGCTTTTGAGGTTTATTTTTATTTTATAATTTTCTACAAAAATGGTATGTAAATAGCTTTTAAGGTTCAGTCTTTATTTTATAATTTTCTACAAAAATGGTATATAAATAGCTTTTGAGGTTTAGTCTTTATTTTATAATTTTCTACAAAAATGGTATGTAAATAGCTTTTGAGGTTGTCTTTATTTTATAATTTTCTACAAAAATGGTATGTAAATAGCTTTTGAGGTTTAGTCTTTATTTTATAATTTTCTACAAAAACGGTATGTAAATAGCTTTTGAGGTTTAGTCTATTTTATAATTTTCTACAAAAATGTGTATGTAAATATTAATTAAAACCAATTACCTTTGCCTTGAGGTACTGTATTTATATTTAATTGCTTGGTTTCGTCTTAATTTTAGAATTTTCTACAAAAATGTGTATGTAAATATTAATTAAAACCAATTACCTTTGCCTTGAGGTACTGTATTTATAATTTTAGAATTTTTTTGGCTTTATTTATGTCTACCCTATAAATGTAAGGATGCGAAAAAGATTCCGATTCCAAGCGCCGATATTAATTTTAGAATTTTCTACAAAAATATAATTTTATAATTTTAGGAAAAATAATTTGCCATTTGACTCCAAATGGTTTGATGACAAAAGAAAGAAAAATGAATCGGACCGATACCAATATCCTTAAAATAAAAAATATATTCTATAAAGAATAATAGCGCCTGGCTTCTAACACGAATTAAATATATCTATTTATTTGACAAAATGTAATTATATCGCAAGATAAAAATTTAAGCCCCGACCCTGTTCGAAAAAAATATATTAGGCCTTAATCGAAATTATTTTTTTAAAAATAGGGTTCGGGCGTATAGTGCCATCTAAAAGTTATGGAACAAATTTAGCTAGCTCACTCATGTTGCTCATCGAGCTAGCTTAAATTTTTTCCTTCAAAATAGAGATGACACTATTTCTACATAATTATAATATTAAAATTCTTATTCACAAATAAATAAATTTCTGCTCAAAAGTCGGCTTGAGCCAACTACTGATCCGACTTGAGTCTGAGTCGATTTTTCGACTCAAAAACTGACTGAGTTTAGGGCTAAGTTGGTTTGGCTCAGCTATTTAACAATACTAATCTTATTACTTAAAAACGAAGGTTAAACAAGGTAAAAAAAATATATTAATTATAATCATCGTTCGTTACAAATTTTCGGCCTAATAATTTTACGTCTTTTATATATTAAAATAAAATTACTTGTTGATGTAATTATGCAATATGTTCTATTACACAGGGAGCATATGCCCCTTCTTCGGTGTTTCCACAAATATTTTTTTGCAAAGGTCATTGCTAAATTTCAACGGGATCAAACTTTCATCTCGTATCTTTAAAAAATTATCATTTATATGATTTTATAATATAGCTAACAGAAATATAAATTTACCTGAAGATCTTCACCAAATTGAGATTGACTATTCAATAGTGAAGATTCAAAGAAATTTGTGGAATCATCCAAGAATGATAAACTGTCTGATGGGGTGAAAATAATGTCATCCTGATCCATAATTTATAAAAGTAATCAATTTTTTAAAATTAAAAAAAAATCTATTTTAATAAAATAATAAAAATTTTATTTTAATAAAAGTAATTTAAACACATGCATAATAATTATAATCTTTACAAATGTACAACAAAAGAAATAAAAGAAATTTCAATAATGCTTATAAAACTGAAAAATATGGTCAATATGTTTCATTAAATCATCATAACATATTATTATATAAAAGTTATAAAAATATTATATTTTAAAATAAAAATATGTTGGTTTATATATCGGGCTGCAAAGAAAATTTTCTTTATTCGAACGAAAATGTAAACAGAGGAACAAAATAAATTTCCACATCATTTTATAATTTAAAAAAAATATCAATTTTTTTTCAAAATTTTTTTCTTTTAAGATATTTTTCTGGCATTCTGTTACACCCTTTTTGATTATTTATAGATATTTTATAACAAATAAATAAAATATATCTATTACTCACTTGACTGTTAATTTCTAAATTAATGTTTTCTAGTTTTCTAAATTAACTATATCTTACCGATAAAATTTTATTTTTTATGATAATGTTATTTTATACATCCGTATAAGATTAATATTCATCATGACTAGGCACCTTACCTTATAGACCCAAATAGTATGATAAAGGTATATAAATTTGATGTTAGAAAAAAACTATGAAAAGCAAAATATAATTTTTTCCGATTACAAAGTGAAGTTAAGAATATATAACGTAAGGAAAATCTATCAAGTCATATGTATTTTACTGATTACATAATATTTAGTTAGAAATACAATATCTAAAATGAAATTTTTTTTAACTAAATAATTAATAGCTATTTTGTATTTACTTACCTTTTTCTCCTTCACACCCATAACTATACCTCACTCTAGAACTACAAATTGGATAGGGCGTAATTCCACTCATTTTGATAAATATTGTACAAGTGTTGGTATCTCTGAGAAAGAATATTCAGCAAAATTATAGGGAGGGTGGGCCTCCTTATAATTTACATTCGCTTACTTTCGGCAGATCTATGACCAATGTGATAGATAAGATAAGAAGATATAAAAAGTTATAATAAATAAATTTAAAAAAACATCTTTCTAATTTTAAAAACAATGAACCCGGATTAAAACAAACTAGTATAATTTTCTATATATTCAACAAATTGACCCAACAAGCCAACCAAGCAAGCCAACCCAGCAGGCCGACCCAGCAGGCCGACCCAGCAGGCCGACCCAGTAGGCCAACCCGGGTCGGCTTAACAGGCCCAATGGGTCGGGCTGGGTCGTGGTCAATTTTTCGACCCTGGCTCTGGGTTTGGCCAATTTTAAGAACTTCGACTCGCGTGGTCGAAAAATACCAACCATTTAACAACACTACCCTCAATGTCCCAGAAAGCCAAATTGATTGGAAAAAAAATTAATTTATGCAACATTAAAAGCACACTAAACAATGCAGTTTCCAATGATGTGTTTGCCCCAAATGACCATTCAACTATACAATCCCTTTTATCTAAACATCCCCAAGAATATATTGGCACTACAGCTGCCACCACCATATCTCTAGACCGACTTTCAAGTTCCGAAATTATCAAGGTTATTCATTCATTTAAAAAGGACTGGAGGATTATATGGTTATCGAGCAATTTACCTTCAGGATCTAATAAAGCTATCCATTCCTTGCCACCAAATCAGCCTTTACCATACTTCTTAATAACGTCTTTAATAGGGCTGTGCCGATCCACATATTTTTCACCGATCTATCCGATCCGATATTTACCGATATTGCTTCAAACACGATCCGATACTGATCCGATATTTATACTGATTTTTAATCACCCCCGTTTGAACCAAATGTAATTAATAAATCAATATTTTTTATCCAAAAAATCTTATAAATTTAATTTAATTTTTTTATTTATACAATTAAGACTATAATATAAAAATATATATTTAATAATATATCCATTTTATGTTGGTATGAATTAAAAAATTGTAATATTTAATATTTAAAATCATAATATATTAGATTTTTTTAATAAATATGAGAGCCTCCAGATTTTCTGGGAATAGGCTTCTACGATCGATATGAACTATCTATATCTCCTGCCGTACTGAAGGCAGACTCAGATGATTCCGCAGATAACGCATTTTGCAAAATTATCTTTGTCTTTTGTAAAATATTTATATAATTCAGATACCATATTTTAAAAAATTCTTTTATTTAAAGTATAAATAAAAAAATTGGCGTTATTTAAAAAGATTTAAATAAATAAAACTTTGGGTGTTCCTTTCTATTTTTATAAAAAAAAACTTTTAAAATACTATAAATATATTTTAAAAAAGAAATAAAATTTAAAAAAATTATTTAGAAAATATTATAATAATGTAAAATAAATATACATATAAAATAAAATAACAAAAAAAAGAAAAGTAAAAAGATCGGATCGGTTTTTACCGGTATCGGCCCGATCCGATATTTTTGGAAAACGCTAAATATCGGTACCGATCTGATATTTAATATCGGCACAGCCCTAATTTTTAATAACCTTGTTCCTCCATGTATTCTACCCTTAATTTTTGGTGCTTGACTCATTGCGCTATCCAAAAAGGATGGAGGCATTCGGCTCATTGCTATTGGGTCCATCTTCCGAAGAATCATATCCAAAATCATTTGTTGGCGCTTAAAGGCAAAACTTTCAAATATTTTACATCCTCACCAATTAGGTTTTAGCATTCCTGCAGGGTGTGAACAGGGTTGCCATGTCGTTAAAGTTTTTTCCTCGGATAGTGAAAAATCCAACAATGTAGCTAGCCCCATAGTGGTAAATATAGCTGATTCAGGGTTATCAATGATTTATATGTCAGCTTTATGCGCTGATAATGCCTCTGAAATTTTGGCAAAAACCAAAGTTACCTAATTGAGGCAGCAAAATAATGAATTAATACCAATTAGAGTTAATGAATTAAGAGAGTTGGTGAAGTGGTCTGACTTGGAATGGTGTGAGTTGTTGCGATATATACCTATCAGGTGGTTGTCATTAATACCTGCCATCGATAGAATTTCAAAATTTTACAAACCCTTAAAAAAATACTTCTTAGATAGAATTTTAAAATTTTACAAATCCTTAAAAAAATACTTCTTAAATAGAGATTTTAAAAGCTGTCCTAAAATTTTGAAAAAATTTATCGTATGAAATGGCGAGAAGCATATTTGGGATTCGTTTCACATGTAGGAAATTTACTACATGCAGTAAATAATCAGTTGAAATCAGAATATTCTTTATTAAAAAAGATTCACAAAATCATGCTACAGCTCTGTTCATCTATACATAAAATTGATAATAAATTTTATAGCGCTATTGCTAAAAATATTATATTAAAATGTTCAAATAATACTCTAATTAATACATTTTTAAATGAAGCAGATATTTTTATTATGACAATATTAGAATATTTACAATCAAATTTTGATTTTAATAACTCTATTTACAAATGTATAAATATGACCTTGGAACAGAAACCATCAATTGATAGTTTTTGTAATTTAATAAATATATTAAAAATACCGAAAGACATTGATGTCTTGTTTTAGGAGATTGTAATTTTCTCTATTTTTTATGATTCACCAAAATACTTAAAGTTAGATGGTCTAAAAGCAGAGAAGAAATGGGTATAATTTTTTCGTAATAACGATAAATCCCCATGCTTGGAAAAAATATGCGAGCATGTCTTCTCCTTACCTCATTCTAACGCCTAATCCGAGCGCATTTTTAGCCTGATAAGAACTGCCTGGAAAAAGGAGAGAAATTGGATTGATTTAACAACGTGACTCAATTCTGTAAATACACTCTGTTTTTTCCAAATTCATTGAGGCATTATCAGATCAGAAAGCTGACATGCAATATATTGATAATCTCGAATCTGCTATATTTACCATTATATGGCAATAGCTATGTCTTTGGATTTTTGAGGGGAAAAAATTTAATAGTTTTATTGAAACGACCTTTGTT